ATGCATGGTGTACCAAAACCAATAAAAAACAGAAGCATATTATGACATAATAGGCACAAAAAACAACTAAGGCGTGGTCAACAAGAAGCTTAGCTAGGTGCTCCCTCAAGAGGCCAAAAATGGTCCATTTCAAGGACAACAAGGAGAGGGGGTGGCCCTCTCCTCCCTAGGACCTCAAGGCACCATCCTTACCTCTGAAATCCCTCAAGATTTCAGTGGTGAGGAGGCCCAAACACCAAGGTCCCGGAGCTCACTCAAAATAGCACAAAATGGGGCCTCTCAAGGCCTAAGAGGGGTCAAACACCTCCAAACCGCAAAACACTCTAAACAAACTATTTAGAGGGCCTAAAAAAAGAACTTTTTTATATTATACACTAAGCTCGAAAACAGTTCTAAGATAGGCAAAAATGCAATACAAGAAAGGGGTAAAAAGGGGTAAGATTGTTACCCTTGAAGACCTCTTCAACAATGGTGGACCAGCTGCTCCTCCAAGCTCAAAACCACCCAAGAACCTCAAGAACAACCTCTTAGAACCTCAGTAGCCAAGGGAAGGTGTAACACTATGTGTTTGTGTGCAATAGTAAGACATAAATGCACTTATACACACACGAAGGTAAAAAGAAAGAGAGAAATAGAGATAGATGAGACACAAACCCTAACCCTAATCCAGACCTCTCCTCTGTATATTTTCTAACCCTTTTTGTCCAACCCTAAAGCCAAGAGAGGAGGGCTCCTCTTATAGAGGAGCCAATCTTGTAAAGCTTACAAGGTAAGCTAACAAGAAGGCCATCCCTCCATACACGTGTATGGAGGGGAACAAAATGCCATACAGCTGTATTAAAATATCTACAAAAGCAGATGAACAGTAGTCGGCTGCTCAAAATTGCCATTTTGACAAAATGGACTGCCGACCGGCAACAAAGAATGCCGGCCGGCAATATACATTGCCGATGGCAACAAAACACCAGCCGGTGGCCTCTGGCCATGGCCGGTGATGTGTGGGGATGCCTCACAAGGTATTCCCTGCCCCTCCAAGGCAAAACACAAGTGTTTGGTACAAAACCAGACACTGAACAGTCGAGTTCAGAGATCCTGAGGCTAGGCGCGTAGCCGAGACCTCCGGGAACTCCAAACGAACACAAACATGGATGATCACCGGGTGTTCAAACGGTGACGTCCAAGTCTTGAGGACGGTCAAAAATGGGGTGTCTACACATTTCCACACAGTCTCTCTCTCTCTCTGTCTCTCTCTCTCCCTCTCCAACATGGCCAAGTCATAGAATTGCAAGTTCAAGTGTTTCTCCGGCATCCTCTGCTGCCTCCTCTACATCGGCTGCCTCCTAACCCAACCATACGTCCCCACCACCGACATCCGTACCACCACCACCACCACCGTCGAAAACCCAAAAAAGATTTTCAAAACCCAAGTCAAGACCCCGGGAGTAGTCGCAAGACTCATGGGTCTAGACTCACTCCGAGACCCTAGGAGGGTTTTTAGTAGAAAGGAAGATTACAAGGAAAAAAGTGGAGTCTCTGTGTTTCTCTGTTTTAATTTGTTTCTGTGTTTACATATCTAAGCGTAGTTTCTGTGTTTACATAGCTAAGTGTATGTTTTTAACAGTACACGTTGATGGATGGCCACCGAATGTTACTGCCAGATTGATGGGTCTTGATGGGTTGCCTTCTCAGCAACCTCTTCATAGACAACATAAAGGGTTCTCGAAAACTTATCGACAATGGACTGCATCAGTATCATCGCAAAGGGATGGAAAACCATATGAACTCCGATCAAGTAGGAAAGGCTCAATGGCGCAGCAAGAATGTAAGGATGAGTATGAAGTTTTGGAAACATCAAAGGTTGAGAGGAGTAGTTACCCAGCAAAAAGGACAATAAACTCAAAGCTGTCTGAGGCAGAGATGGCGTTCATTCAACAGAAGTTCATGGCTGACCATGGTTGGCTTCTTGCTCAACTAATTTTTTTAGTAGTATGATATTTGGACTACCCAGTTTTGTTGACTTATGAGCGGTTTTCACGGATTAAATTGGCTATCTGATTTTTTGTTTTTTTGTGTTTTTTTCTATTGAAAAAGGTGGTTTTTCTTTTAAAAGGATGTTACAAGTTTATCCCAACTGTGTTCGGGCCCAATGCAAACTGGCTGGTCCAGTCTGCTTTTAAAAGATTCAAAAGGACACATCATGTAATTAAGAAGTGGTTTCCAAAATGCCCTCAAACATTTTTTTTTGAAAGTTGTGAAAATTTTGAGGACTCATGTTTTTTTTTTTTTTTGGGTGTGTGGGTTCATAGTACTATTCCTGACTGGAAACCACAAAACAGAGAGCAGAAAATAGTGTTATGGTGCTTCCTAGAACATGGTTCTCTAACTCATTTCTAAAAATAGTTTTTGAAAATAACAAACTAATTCATCTTCGGTTTAGATATGTCCTATTATTTGTGGATCCATGTTCTCAGTTTTTTCTTTGATTTGTAATCAGTTCCCCAATAACATATTTTATTTACTTGTACTTGCAGACAGGATTTTGAGTAAAATATGTAACGCCCTCAAAATAATACATAATACCCAACATTTCAGACATGCATTGATACAAAAGAAATCAACCATTTCTATTTATCAGAGTAATTCTTACAACTGTATTACATGTTAACAACAAAAGCAAATGCCCTATGGGCTTACAGCTTTCCAAGTTAACACTTGGTTACAAAAAAAGAATAGTACTAACTCAATACACATTAAGCCCTTGGCTGGAATTTACATGTAATACATCAAAATAAACAAAAGAAAGTGTCTTCAACTCTCATTATCATCCAAGCTACGTCCTTGGAGGTGGCATACTACCTGTACCTGAAAATAATGTCCCATAAAGGGTGAGCCAACGCCCAGTAGAGATATGCTAAACACAGTATGAGCAATAACTAAGACATTAGCAATTGATAAATGTTTAATTTCCATAAACCAATTCATAACTCATTTCCATTTCACTTCAGTTTCCATTTCATGTCAATTTCGCAATTTACATCAACGGCCCAGAACCTGGCCAACCACTTATATGAGACAATGACTCGTATTAAACTTTTTCCCATTTTTACAATAGATAAACACACAAGTTGTATCAACGTCTCGACAGATAAGCATACAAGCTATGTCCACATTTCAACAGATATGCACGTTAGCTATATCAACACTTCCAATGACAAGCATATGAGCTGTATCAACACTTCCAAGGATAAGCATATGAGTTATATCAACACATTATCTGACAAGCATATGAGCTGTATCAGTGCAGTCCATCCCCTATCTCCTCCCAAACAACATCCGATTTAGAGGTCCATCCCGTATCTTACCCTAAACCGTGGAGTACATCCCCTATCTCCTCCCACACACACAATGCATATATACACAAAGGTCATATACACAATCAATCAATACATAACGTTCATGTATTCTGTCAATCGTCATACTCTATGACATATTCAATTGATTAGTTTTAGTTTGCCTAATCATCATGCATTGTCTATAACAATCAAAACTACCCTCCACCGGTAGTCCAAGCAATTATTTCTAAACAGATAATAAAAGGTCCAACAGAAAAATATCAATGTTTTCAAAAGTGAGCGATTTATAAATCCAACTCCATCATTTCACAACATAATGAACCAATTTCATTATTTCCAACTCAATTCCATAAATTCACAACTTTCCCAAATTAATTATACCAATTAATTTTAAACAACAAATTAGGGCTTTTACCCCCAACTCTCGATATTAACCCAAAGGTTCCAATATCACCAACCAACAAATACATCATCATTTTAAAACCCAAATTACATACTATGAGCCCAAAATCACAAAACCCTCTTTAACACATTTTGAAACCCTAAGTCCCAAAATCAACCATTTAAACAATAGGCTCAAAATCTAGGTTAAAACCCATAAGAGTGAGTAGGAATCCCTACCTCAAAAGATGAGACCCAACAAAGAAGATGGTGAAAACGAAGTTGCTCCAAACCATGAGTTTCTCTGATCAAAAGATAGCCCTCGACGATCAACAACCTTTTTGTAAAGGCCAAAGGTGAGGAAAACACCCTAGCTAGATCAATATCTAGAGAGAAGGCAAGGTTTTAGAGAGAGGCGCTCTCAAATGGCCTTTTCGGAAAAGTAAGAGAGAGAAAGGATGAGAAAAAGTGATTTAAAACTGCCTCACAACTAACTGATATACGACATTCCCGCTCGAGCGGAAAACACAACGCTCGAGCGTCAAGAACAAAAATTAGGTCCGCTCGAGCGCAAAAAGACCTGCTCGAGCTCCAAGACACGAGAATAAAGTAAATCCGCTCGAGCACGAAAACCAGTCCGCTCAAGCGTAGATTTCCCCCTCCCAGAACTTACACCCAAAGGTACTACCCGCTCTAGCGCCAAAGTACCGGCTCGAGCGCCACCGCTCGAGTGAAAAGAAACCCGCTCGAGCGCGAAAAACACACCTGCAGAAGTTTTGCAGGGACACGAAAATACTGGGGTTGTGCAATCCCCGCTCGAGCGCAAGAAGACCCGCTCGAGCGGACCTCCAAAAAACTGGGCAACAAAGAATTGAAACCAAAGCCTAACCAACCTGTAACAACTCTGCCCAATACATCCTAAAACTCAATCAAGTGGAATTAAAGGATGACAACAAGGTAGATACAACTACCAACATCACGGAACCGAGTCCGGAATACAACAGAACAGTAAAGGGACAACCGGGATCGCTATATTTTTATTTTTGCTTCCAATTCAAAAGGTTGGCAAAAATCTAATTAAATTAGATTCCAAGATTTTTATTCAACCAATTTCAGTGAGGTTCATTTTAATTTCAGTCTCTGCTAAAGCATGTATTATTTAAATTTTATAGAAAAACAAAAATACTTGTTTCTCAAAAACATTATATACAATATTAACAAACATACAACAAAATGAGGAAAAATTCAAGAGAAACATTAAACAGAACTCACCTGATTTTATCATATTCCGACAGCGTCAAGAAGCTCTGAGTGTTGAGACACAGAAACCAATGAGTTTGCAACAATGGCGCCACTAGTAGCAACTGCTGGGACTCCAATACCAGGGAATGTAGAATCACCGCAGCAGTAAAGCTGTGGGATCGGAGTTGAATGTCCGGGAAAAGTGCCTTTACCGGCCTGTATAGCTGGCCCATAAGTTCCTCTATTCCTCCGCAGAAACCTTCGATGTGTCAATGGGGTTCCAACTAACTTCACTTCACACTTCTCGCGATCAAAACCTGGACCAACAGCACGCTCCACGGCCCTCCACAGGACCTGGATTGGTAAGGAATAATAAGAACTGCTTTAATACGAAAAATAATTATCTTGTTTCATACACTAAATATGGATTATCCGGAAATAATCTGATGGCGCATAAGCATTTGAGAATTTCAAAGAATAAAGGAGAACAATCAGGGATATTAGCAAGGTAGCTAATAGTAAACTCAAAAATTAAGTCGACAACATTCCAAGAATACACAGAAATATGAACTTCTGACTCTAAAATTATATGCAATTTTGACCATTTTTTTAGAGAAAAGACATGATGCTTCAAATATTGTCACATCATACATGGTAAAATCAAGTTGCTTCAATTATTGGAAAAATTATGTACACCTTGAGACTTTCTTAAGAAGTTCCACCATAGGTAAAAATCAAAAGAATGCCAAAACTTATGAAGGTTGTACACAATGCACAAGGCTCCCACTTACAATAGGGTTGGGGAGAGATAGTAAGTAGGCAGCTTTCCCTCCACATTTTTGTGGAGAGGCTGATTCACGTGACTCAACCCCATGCCATAGCACACGGAGCAGATAACACTTGTCATTGCTCTAGCTCACAACCTCCAATGCCAAAATTTATGCATACCATATATATTGTTCATAAACTTGACAATTAACTAGAAAACATTGGATCTAATTGAACAAATCAAGCTTTAAGATGCAAATAAAAAACCCAATCAGCAAAAAAAAAACATGTAAAACTCCCTCAACCTCAATACCATAGTCAAATTCTAAATGGACTGTCATTAAAATGTTCCATAATAAGTTCGCTGAACTTGCTCTATTATTCCTTCTGATAATGTTGAATTTCACGGCTTTCAGTTAGTGCATTTGTCATGAATGACAACATAAGAAAAGCCAATGACAAAAGTTGCCAGTAAGCATACCTCAGATCTTTTAGCTTTGAGTTCTTTGTATTCAGCACTTTCACGATCAAGTCCTTCCCAGAGTCCAAACGGTTCGGTTCCTGGCATATAGGCATGTAACACGTGTTTCCCAGGGGGTGCAAGATCTGGACTAAGCACACTGGGTATAGATATCAAAACAACATTTTGATCAGTATCGACTCCTCTCTCCCAATCATTCACAACTATATGATGAATCTTCAAATCCTCGCTTATACCCTAATAAATAAAACATATGTTAGATGTATTTATTCAGATTTAGGAAAACATCATCCAAAGCAGTGGCAGATGAAGCCTGGTTAAAAGATTACCAACATTGAGAAAAAGTCGTCATGCCACAGATGTCAACGATTGAAGAGAGCACAAAGCTAACATTATGTAGCATATCCCACAGAATAGGCAATAATCTATTTAATTTGTTTATGTAACAGTAATTTCTTAGAGTTACCACTTTGAGATTTCAGTTTCTCCAAATGGTGATTCAATTCTACTATTTTTCAACTTGTCTCAGCAATATTAGAAAAAAAAAAAAAAAAATCTCTCTTTAAAGAGTTAAGATTGACTTAAGTATATTGTGCATTATCACCAATAGATGATGCATTGTTAGCAAGCCTCACCCAAGCCCTCACATTCACACGTGGGAAACTTTTTACTGCAGTCTGCAGTTGGTAAACAAGGATCGGTTGTTTAGCAAGGTACAGAATGTATCGTCAAATATTCAAATAATTCCAGAAAATCTAGCTTCATTCAAGTAACGGCTTCTAGCCAATTGAAAGGATCTTCTGATCAATCCAG